ACAATATGATGGAGAAGTTAATTGTCACATAGCTTAATAGCAGCTGCATGCCAACAGCCCATTACTCTTAAGACAAATAGGGCAGAAGAAATTCCTCGCCCAACAAAGAAAAAAATGAGGACTTAGAGAACAAGAAACGAAGATATACAATTTTTAAAGCTTTGTCTTCGCGTTTTTGTTAGAAAATGGTTTTTTTTTGCAAAAAGTTTTCTCTGAAATTGGACACGCAGCTGGTTATGGGGAGGAGAAATGCTACAAAACTTTTAGGGTCATTCTCCCAAGATGGTGAACGACTGTGACTGTAGCTACTACTGACATTCAATTATTCTGTACCTCTAAAACCAAATAAGGAGGATGGATATCAGATAGATGATGAAAAGTTAAAGAGTTCCAGTCCAAAAGGTGAAGGGACAAGAGGTCGATTGAAAAATTTTTCCAAAACTGAAAATTTGAAGTTCTGCTTGGTTTTCTCACTTGATAAAATCACGAGGCAGCTCTATTTCAATCAAAACGATGAGACGATAATTGAGTTCTAACATCTAAAGTATCGGTTGAGCTAAATAGATTAGAGGTCCTTACCTTATTAAACTGTTCCGTCAAAGGTTTTTCTTCCTCTAATTCGTTCTCCAGAACTCCTAAAGGACTTTCACGTCTCTCTTCCGCTGGCTCTTGATTGTTGTCGTCGACAGGGCTTTCGCGACCAAATAAATACTTTTTCAATGAGCCTTCTGGCTCATCATCAAAATTCACAAGACTGAAAAGATTGGTTGAAAGGTCTGCTGTACTAATTACACAAAAAGGACATTCAAGCTCTTACTTTCCCACAGTTTCCTCTTGCTCATCAGGTTCAGCTGGCAGCTGAGAGTACTCCAAATTCTTGTCTTTATCAACACTTTCTTGGCGTACTTTTTTTGCCACTTTTTTAGAAGGCTCAATGAGATCCTAGATCAAACATTTAGAGTATAGGATATTACGAGCAGATTTGAGAATAAGGGTCTTAGACACCTACCGTAAGAATTTCAAATTCATAGTGCTGGAATGTGGAAAGATTAGTGGAGAGTGCAGTATAGGCACGACATGTTTTATCGTAGTAGGCACAGAGCATTTCTAGATATTTTCCAAGGAGATGAGACAGGAGATTCGATCGTGAAGCAGACAAGAGATCAACCTTGAAACAGAAATCTGGAAAATTTCAACTTCTTTTCGAAAATTTTCTCACCTTTTGAAGTGTGTCTACTTTGAGTTTGTCGAGCCTCTCCT